TCTACTCTACCCTACCCTACCCTACCCTACCCTACTCTATTCTACTCTATTCTTAAAGAACTCCTCGGGGAAGTCCCATTCCCATTCTAGAACTCTAGAATACAATAGAACTGGAAGGAAGGTCTTCTAATCCAACCTGCTGCTCCAGCGGAAGACCCTATAGTACCATTTCAGACAAGTGACTGTCAGTCTCTTCGTAAAAACCTCCAGTGATGGAGCACCCACAATTTCTGGAGGGAAGTTTTTCCCACTGATTAATTGTCCTCATTGTTAGGAAGTTTCTCCTTAATTCCAGATTGCTTCTCTCCTTGATTAGTTTCCATCCATTGCTTCTCTTCTTGCCTTCAGTGCTTTGGAGAATAAGTTGACCCCTTCTGTTTTGTGATAGCCCCTCAAATACGGAAATACTGTTATCATGTCACCCCTAATTCTTATTTTCTCTAGAATAGCCAAACCCAAGTCCTGTAACCATTTCTCAAATGTTTTACTCTCCAGGCCTCTTTAATCATCGTAGTTGCTCTTCTCTGCACTTATTCCAAGGTCTCTTTTGTAATGTTAGGACCAAAACCAGATGCAATATTTCAGGTGTGGTCTTATTCAGGTTTTATAAAATGGTACTTGTTGTATATTTGAATATTTGAATACTCCCTTTTGATTGGTCCATCCGGACGGTGGGAAATTCAAAGAGCCGTCATTGGCTGCGAGCCGCGAGCAAACTCTCTTGGTTGATGGGGTAGATCGGGTCCTGCAGGGAGCTTCCGTCTGGGTAGGCTGGTACCAGCAGGGAGTCCTGGGTGTTAGGAGGTTGGGCTGGGTTGGTATCAGTTGTGCTTCTCCATCGCCTTCTGAGCTGGTCCACGTGTCTATGCCACAGGCGTCCATCTTCCAGGAGGACCCTGTAGGATCTAGGACCTGTGACTGACACAACTTGACCTGGTACCCACAGAGGATCCCCTGCATAATTCCTGGCGTACACCAGGTCATGCAGGGCAAAGTCCCTGACCAAACTGTCAGATCCTAAAGGGGTGTCTGGGCAGTAGTGGGGGTGCAACCTGTCCAGGGTGGTCCTAAGGCGTCTCCCCATCAAGAGCTCAGCAGGGGATTTATTTGTAGCGGTGCATGGCGTCGTATGTTGGCTCAGGAGGTAACGTGACAGTTTGGAGTGCCAGTTTTCCTGGCCAAACCTGGCAAGTGCCTCTTTTGCTGACCTGACTGCCCTCTCAGCCATCCCATTGCTAGCGGGGTGAAAGGGGGCTGTAAGGATGTGTCTGATGCCCAAGTTGGCAACGTACATGCTAAACTCACACGACGTGAACTGGGGGCCACTGTCAGACACCAGCGTGTCAGGGAGCCCATGGGTAATGAAGAAGCGGGTCAGAGCCTTAACAATTGCTTGGGTGGTTGTTGAGGGTAGTAGGGCCAAGTCTATCCATTTGGAATAAGAGTCTACTACAACCAAGAAGGTCCTGCCATGTACTGGTCCAGCCAGGTCGATGTGCAGGCGAGACCAAGGACCACTAGCACTCTCCCACTTGGTAGGCGTAGCTGCTGGTGGGGCAGCCCTGGTTTCTTGGCAAGGTTGGCATGAGCTTACCCAGCTGGCGATTTGGGCATCCATGCCGGGCCACCAAACGTAGCTGCGGGCCAGAGCCTTCATCCTTACAATGCCCGGGTGGCCCTCGTGAAGTACCTTCAGGATGGGTACACGAAGAGTGGCTGGGATGACTACCCTTGTCCCCCACAACAGACATCCTTGTAGTTTCGACAATTCCTGCTTACGGGTTTTGAAAGGAGCAAAGTCAGCAGTGTATTGCGTTTCCGGCCACCCCCTTCCCACCCAGTCCATAACTTGGGCAATTATTCTGTCTTTTTTTGAGTGCGGAGCAATGTCCTCGGCTGTAACCGGCAATTTAAGTTCATTAACTTCGAAAATGGCATGAACAGGTGCTGGATCTTCGACTGGGACTGGTAGGGGGCAGCGACTAAGGGCATCGGCGTGACTCAAGTTTTTGCCAGGGCGATGCACCAACTTGAATGAATAAGCGGCCAGGAACAAAGTCCACCTGGTCATTCTAGGTGATAGTACCTGCGGGGTTTGCTTATCCCCTGATAACAGCCCCAGGAGTGGTTTATGGTCAGTTATAAGTTCAAAATGGTGCCCAAACAAAAATTCATGAAATTTTTTTACTGCAGCTACTGCAGCCAAGGCCTCCTTATCTATTTGGCTGTAGTTCCTTTCTGCAGTAGAGAAGGTCCTAGAGAAGAAAGCAATTGGTGCCTTGGAACCGTTGGGAAGCCTGTGGCTCAGAACAGCCCCAATCCCAAAGGGGGATGCATCAGCAGCTGGGACCAGGGGAAGTCGTTGATCATATTGGATTAAAACTGCATCAGATGTGAATAAGGACTTGACTGAAGGCATGGGCTTCTTTGGGTCCCCAATGCCAGGGGGATTCTTTGTCTAACAGTCTGTGTAAGGGTTCAGCAATAGATGCTTTGTGCGGGAGAAATGAAGCGTAAAAGTTTAGTAGCCCCAGAAAGGCTTGGAGCTCCATCTTGTTAGTTGGTGTAGGTGCCTCATGGATAGCCTTTACTTTGGATTCGATTGGGTGAATGCCAGAGGCATCTATCCTATATCCCAGAAAGTCCACTTGCCTAGTGGCGATGGCGCACTTCTCCCTTTTAAGTTTGAGGCCATGCTGCCTAAACTTCTCTAGGACTGCTCTGACCCTTTGTATGAGCTGAGGTCTGTCAACTGCTGAGACTAAGATGTCATTGAAATAAGGGACAACCCCTGGGAGACCTTGGAGAATCCTTTCCATGAGTGATTGGAATATACCCGGGGCTACACTTACACCGAATTGTAGGCGTTTGCACTTGAATGCCCCTCTATGTGTGACTATGGTTTGTAATTCAGCTGTCTGATCATCAACAGGGAACTGTTGGTATGCCTGGGACATGTCTAATTTGGCAAAAATGGTGCCGGGTTCGAAGGTGTGTAACAGGTGTTGAATAACAGGGACCGGGTAGGCACTGACCTGCAGATAACGGTTGAGGGTGGTTTTATAGTCTGCGCAGATTCTTAAACTGCCATCTTTCTTGAGTGGGGTGACTATGGGGGTCTCCCATTTGGCAAAGTCAGTTGGTTCTAACACCCCTTGCTTTAGTAACTTATCTAATTCTAAATCTAACTTGGGACGGATGGCGAAAGGCACTCTGCGTGGCTTAAGGTGAAGAGGAATTGCCTGGGGGTCCACAGAGAAGGAGATGGGGGTGCCAGAATAACAGCCCAGCTCGCTGCTAAAAACATCAGAGTAATCTGAGAATAGGGCGTCTACGTCAGAAGTTGAGACAGCATGGATCCCAGTTACACTAAGGCCGAGGGAGGGGAACCAATCTAGCCCCAACAGACTGGGGAGGGCACCATTAACAACCACCAAAGGCAAATGGCCTTTAAAGGCTTGGAATTGAACTAAAAACTTGCCTTTCCCGAGGACAGGGATGTTCTTGCCCTGGTAGTCCCGCAGAGTCAGGTGGCATCTCTGTAGTTGCTTATTAGACAGTCTGGGCTGGATTTTCTTTAGGGTTTCCCAGGAGATGATTGAAAGCGCAGATCCTGTGTCTACCTCCATCCTGCAGGGTTTACCTTCTAAAGAAACAGAAATACTGATTTTATTAGGAGTCTGGGAAGTTTGGTTAGCGTGGTAGCAGGTATAGCAGTCCTCCACTCGCCTTTGGAAATTAGTAGGTGGTGGTGGTCTTTGAGGAAAGGTTCGCCCTGCTTGGCACATTCTAGCGAGGTGGCCTTTCTTTTGACAATTCAGACAGATGGCGTTCTTAAACCTGCAGGATGCCCTAGAGTGGGAGCCCCCGCAAGCTAGGCAAATGGGAGGTTGCTTGGGGGCGAAGTTGTTTCTCTGCCCTGCTCCTACCTGTGAAGGCTTTTGTTGCTTAAGGCGGTTAATGTCTGTTGAGTCTATGGGGTCTTCTTCAAGGGAAACTTCCTCTGAATGAATAGTGGAACTGCTGGGTTTTAAAGGAGTTCCTTGAATTTCAGCTGCTGATTGGGCAGAGAGCTCAGCAGCTTGGGCTTCCTCCACAGCTAAAGCTAGGTTTAAGTTCTTTTTTGCTAGCAAACGTCTTTGAAGTCTAAGGTCTCTAACCCCACAGACGATCTGGTCTAATAACATGTCTTCTAGGTAGTCTCTGAAACCACACTGTAAGGCAGCTGTCCTCAGAGCTGCCATATATTCATTAATTGACTCTCCCTCAGCCTGCCTTCTAGTTCTGAAAGCATATCTCCTGGCTATCTGGGATGGTTTAGGTGAGTAGTGGTTGGAGAGGATCTCTTGGAGTTCATCCCAAGGTATGCTCCTGATAGCGCGAAGGGCGACTAGTGTCAAAAACCGCAGCCCCACAGTAGCTGAGGAAGTAGGATTTTTTCCTGTGTTCAGCAGCATCTGCTAAACCGATGGCATCGAGGAAATAGCTGAAACGGTTTTTGTATGAGTCCCACGTTTCTTCGGATGGCTTGAATGGTGGGAATATCGGATTGGCATTCATTTTTTGAAGCGGCAGG